TATATATATACAGGAAACAATGTTTTCTTAGTCAATAAAGAGTTCATGAGTATAAAAACAACACAGTGAATCCCACCACCACCTATATCTATAAGAATAGGACTCTAATTAAAATAAGATATATTCCATGCTTGTATAATTGTATAAAAATGGATTCTGCTGTTATATATAACTAAAAAGAACCAATAAAATAAAAAAAGATTTAATAAGCATCTACTATGTGTAAACACTGTGCTAGTTTGGATGAAGCAAATTTAAGACATATTCTTCACCTGTAAGCAACTTAAAATCTATCTAGGAAGAAATGTGATTTAATCATAAGTGGCTTAAAATTGTAAGAAGAAAATGATAGACATGATGGTGCTATACATACTTAGATACCAGTAAATTATGTAAACAGCGTTTCCACGGGTTTTGAAACAAAGGGTCGATTTGATGTAATCAAAGCTTTACATTTGTATGATAATCACAATCATTCATCATGCTGCAATTAATATCTAAATATGTAAATATGCCATATACGCTCATATATGTCTTCTTTATTTCTATAAGGTTGGATTATTAGGAATTCAAATGATATGGACACGGGATTCAGAAGAAGCCCTTAGAAATGCCAAATTTGATAAAAAAATCATGCAGAAGACCAATCAGTCCTTCTTGGAGCTGCTAAACACACTGATAGACATCACTACGAAGGATCTGAGTCCCATGGAGCGAGTGAAATATGAGACTTTGATTACTATTCATGTGCACCAGAGGGACATCTTTGATGACCTGGTAAATTCTTCATAACTGCTGTGGCGTACACAAGAAAGCAAGCAGTAGACAGGCCTGTGTTTAGTGGCTGGAATTAGTTAGATTGAACTGAAGGAAAATGTTTGATTCAGGCGTCATCTTCTTGATCAGACCTTGCTTATCAGACTTTCTCTTCTACCTTAAACTGAAATTTCCATCATCCTCTCATGATCTCTACTGTTATTGAGGCAACTAGACTTTCTTTTCAAATTCTTCATATGATTATTTTAAATGCATCCTGAAAATCTTTATTGGTCTTGTGTTCCTTTTAGTTACTGACTGAAGATCACTAGTTTCTTGCTGCAGAAATTATGACTAATATTGCTAGTAGAGCTTTTGAGGGCTTCTTTTAGGGCTTCTGATAGATCACATCCTTACTTAACAAGTTTTGGTGCCTTTTATGTCATAGACGGCAACGTGGTCTTTCCTAACACAGCCTGTGACATTCAGGTGTCATGCAGATTTTTGCCTTTAAAAAGAAAACAGGATGGAGAAAGAGAATTCAATGGCTATTAAAAATGGGAAATGTGAAAAAAAAGAGAAATTTGTCCTCTACCATAAAATACAACATTAGATAAGAGGCAAGAAGCTCTCTCTTACTTTCATAATCATTTTCTGAATTGTGTCTCAACCCCATTATGTAAAAAAGATTATGAAAGATTGGTCCTGATGGAATGGAAATAAAAGGCAGCACATTCAAGCTATTTTGTGCTAATCTCCTCTCCTAATAGTTAAGCGCACTGTTTGCCTCGCTGAGAAATAAAGGGCTCAGGGATAATTTTCGATTTCTTATTTGTCAAAGAAAAACGATTAAAGTGGCTTAAAATTTTGGTTGAAAAATCCAGACAAAAGCTTTGCCGGGCAATAACTTGTCATTTAGATGTTAGAAAATTTTGCCTGCTGCAAATTCCTAGGAAAAGTAATTAATGGATTAAAAACAAAAAACTCTCAATGTACTTTGACATAATCTTAAGAAATGCCTTTTTCCTAATGAGATTGTTTAGCTCTGCCTTTGTATGCCATTACATGTTTTTCACAGATTATAATTCATGGTTGGACTATGCTCTTGGAAAATTAAGAGTGAAATTTAAGAAATGAATCTTATTATTAAACCATGTACTGTCATTTAAATCAGAGAGGCATGATTAGGGGTTGAGTTTCCTATTCTCATGTCTTCTGAGTTTTTATTTTTTGATGAATAAATGAGTGGGTTGGGTATGACGTCGTCCATGGCTTTGAGCTACTTGGGTCGTCTGCGAGTTCCATTTCTTTTACTTGATGTTCTACATAAATGCCGATGCGTATGTTTAATTAGTGATCCTCATCTCGGTTTTGACATACACCTTTTGAATTTCAGTGTCACACGCACGTCAAGAGCCCCACGGACTTCGAGTGGCTGAAACAGTGCAGATTTTATTTCAATGAAGATACTGACAAGATGATGATTCACATCACCGACGTGGCTTTCGTCTATCAGAATGAATTTTTAGGCTGCACTGACAGGCTTGTCATAACTCCTCTCACGGACAGGTGATGGAAGAATCCTGGGATTCTGCGGCCTCCTCTCCCCCGACCCAGGTTGCTCCAGGGACACTGGCTTCATGCCTCTTTAGGGTTTGTAGAATCTTTCCCACCAAAGCCCTTGAGGCTCAGCAGGTCTAGCTTTACACCTGTGTCTTCACATGGGATTCAGGTTGTGGCTGAAAGAGACCTGATTCCCTTGCCTTCAGTCTTGTGGAGCCAACGTGTAAAGTCCCTGTGGACGATTGGGCAAGAAAGGGAATTCTGGCTGTGTGTCGCCCATGCAAATCCCAGCAGGCCTTGAAGGCTCAGTTAGTAGTGGTGGGACCTGTTGTCCTCCCAGAGAGGCAGTTAAGATGATTGGTTAGCAGGAAAGAAATGACGGATCAGCACAAACGAAAGCGGTGGGGAGGGCACCAGCCGGGCGTGGGATGTTGTGGGTGCTGCCCTGCATGGGTCCTTGGCTGGTCCTGTTGGCTGGAGCCTCCACTGTGGCCTCCCTGACTCGGTCTCCCTATCAGGAAGAGGAACGAGGCTGGCTCCTGCGGCCCTTCTGGCACTAGTATTCATCTAGTGTGAATTCCCTGACATCCGCCACGTTGCATCTTCTCTGTTAAGAGATGAACTCAGTACTTACTGTGGCCATCTGACTGGCTTTAGTCTTCCCATGTTGTATGTGTCTTAGTCAGCTGTTTCACTGCTGTGACCCAAAGACCCGACAAGAACAATCTTAAGGAGGAAACATTTGGGGCTCACAGTTTCAGAAGTCCAGTCCATAGACAGCCCCCTCCATTTCTCAGGGCTTGAGATGAGGCAGGACACCGTGGCGGAGGGTGGGGGGGAGGGAAGCAGCTCAGGAATGACACCAGGAAGCAGAGAGAGACTAAGCTCAGCTCACCAAATATAAACCCCAAAGGCTCACCCCAATGCCCCACCTCCTCCAGCCTCACCCCACAGCCCTCAGTTACGACTCAGTGAATCCCACCGGGTGATCAACTCACTGACTGCGTCAAGGCTCTCCTAACCCAACCATCTCACCTCCAAACCTTCTTGCCTTGTCTCACACATGAACTTTTGGGGCACACCTCACATCTAAACCATAACAAATGGTTCAACCATGACATCTATAACAAAGTGTCACATTATATACCATAATGTAGACAATTATAATTGGTCTAGTAAAAAAAATATTAATTTAAAAATGTGAAGCACTCTCCAGTAGGAACTTACCTTGAGCGACTTAGCAGTTAGCTCCTACCTCCTCTTTTTCATGTCCCACCTCTTCCTTCCTTTCCTCTCTTTCCTCTGAAGGCCTTGTTTGCTGTTTTGTTGAGAAGACAGCTCGGCATGGGAGGAATAGATGACTTCTAGATAGGGAAGAGGGGAGGGAGGGAAAGGGAGGGGGACAGGGGATTAGCAAGGATGGGGGATGGACGTCATTATCCAAAGTACATGTACTGGGGTCAACCTATTTTATATATAAACAGAGATATGAAAAATTGTGGTATATATGTGTAATGAGAATGGTAATTCCCCCCAACCACCAAAACGGCATCTCTGCTTGTGTCCCACAGCCTTACCGTGCACACTCCAGCAGGCACCTGTCCTGAGCTGTTGCTTTCTCTCCTGGTTCCCTGGATGGGTCCTCTGTGCTGCCCTCCGGAGTCAGCAGCACCTTCACTGACACCAGGGTCTCCTCTCTGCAGTGTCTTCAGGGTCCACTCATCAACACACACATGCTGCAGTTGCTCCTATAAAGAAAACCATCCTGTGTGGCCCCAACTTCCTTACCGTTTCTGTGCACCAACAAAACCCCTCCAAAGCTCGATTTCCCTCCTCCTAGGTTGCCTGAAGTTACTGCACTTGGGCTCCTGGTGTTGACTTTCTTTTGCTACAGTCCCAACCCCTTAAGTTTTTCAGCTGGAGCAACACACGTGCATTATGTGTACACATCCTCACACCAGGATTCTGATGCAGTGTCATGGGGCTGCATTTGGATGTCAGCAGGGCTGTGTTCTTCCTGGGGATTCTGGGAGGACAGTGTCCTGCTCTTCCAGGTTCTTAGTTGAACTCCTTTTTTGGTGGTTGTAGGACTAGATCCCCATGTTCTTACTGTTAGCAGAGGGTCATCAAGTTCTAAGAGCCACATTCCTTGACGTCCTTCCTCCGTCTTCAAAGCCAGGTACCTTCATGCTTCCGTTCTCCTCTCCATCCATCCCAGGGCTGTGACCTGCTCTTCTGCATCCATTTTTAAAGGGCTCATGAGAGTAGAGGCCACTGGGTAATCCAGGATCATCTCCCCTCCTCAGAGTCCTGACATTGATGACATCTGCAAAGTCCCTTTAGCCACATAAGGGGACGTGTTTACAGGATCCAGGGATGAGAGCATGGACGTCTTTGGGGACCATGATCCTGTTCTCTCACTTTCCACCACCACTTGGCTAACGGAGCTCTTGCGAGTCACCCACACCTTCAGGTCACCGAACGCAGTGGTCATGTCTGGATCTCGCCTTCTTGGCTCGGCGCTAACGGCCGCCCAGCTGTCTCTCTCCTCTGGAAGCACTTTCTCCACCCTCACCTGGCTCCTCCTCCTGGTCTAGATGTCTCTTCCTACCTGCTCCTTCTGGGTCCCCGTCCTCTCCTGGACCTCTCCCCACCTACGCCCACTCCATAGATGATGTCGCCTGGCTTTAAATGCCATCTAGATGTTGGCCTCCATCTCTGCATCCAGCCAGGGTTCTCCCTGAACTCCAGACACAGGCATCCCCCTGCCTCCGTGACGGGCAGGGCATTTGACTTTAGCATGTTTGGTCGTCCCACCAAAACCCACTTTCTTGTCACCTTCTTCTCTTCTGTAAGTGACCATTCTATTTTATCACAGTGGTGGGGAAATGAGACGGTCAGAATTGTGGTCCCGAAAGGTGTCCATGTCCTAATTCCTGAAATCTCTGACTAGGGTACCCTCCTGTTGCTGGACCCAAAACTCCTTGGATCTTTGGGTTCTAAATAAGTGTTTTCTGAAAGAATCGATCACTTCTAAATTTGCATCTTTATGGTGAAGCATGTAAGTTATTCAGAAGAATGGAAAGTGGAAACTAAGAGGAAAATCTGTTTTTTCTCAAAATGCTGAGCTGCTTAGTTTTTAATCCTCCTGAAAACTTGGATCTTTCAGGTCTTAAAACTTGAGAACGTAAAAAGCAAAGCAAGTATGTATAATTATATAAGGTAGAGACAGTTCTAAAGTTTATTCCATCCTGATTCCCCCAAAATACTCGCTTGTTGATTCTCCTTAAACTCACTCAGTTATGTGAGAAGAGAGGCGTCCTTGTGGCTGGCCACTGGGGAGCGTCTTAAGACCCGCAGCCTGTTTACAGAAAGAGAATCCTCTCTTTCCTCACTAAAGAGAATCCTCTCTAAAGCCAAGTGCTGGGGGCACTGATGTTTACCATTAGCCTGCTGCTGGTCACCTGGGAAACCCAACCATGGTGGTAGCTCCCTGGACTCCAGGCAGCTTAGTGACAGTGCACAGTCCTGCTGGCCCCTCAGGGATCCAGTGGCCCCCACGATGTGGTAACAGCACACAGCACCTTCCTCCAAATACTCACGGAGGTGTCAACGCGGCCTTCCTCCCGCACGCGGGAGAAGACTCCTGTCCTCACACAGGACCAAGGGCAGAGGGAATCAAGGGGGCGTGAGGCATTTTACCTGCTCACTAAGAAGCGCAGATGAGCTGACAGCACGGGTCTGTCCCTGACGTGATCTCACAGCGTCTGTGGCCTCTCCTGTCTATTCCTGCTGCTGTGCAGGCTCGGGCCAGGCACCCACGCCCTCACTTCCTTCTCTTGGAATCTGTGTGCACTAGACGTAAGGCTGGGTAGTCTCCCTTATTCTTGAAGGAATATGTTCCAAGACCCTCCGTGAAGCCTGAAATCACAGGTAACATCAAGCACCGTGTGTACTTTTTCCTGTACATAAATGCTTATGACAAAGTTTGACTTACACATTAGTCACTGTAGGAGATTAATAACGGCAAAATGAAGTATATCAATATAGTGTAATAAAAGTCGCGTGCATTTCTCTTTTTCCATATATCTCAAATGTCCACTTAGTATTACTGAACTGCAGCTGACCTCACATAGCTGAACCTGCCGAAGATCAAACTGTGGATCCGGGGTTTGGGGAGACAAAGTAACCTGTCAGTCATTATTATTTTTGCTATGACTGCTGCTTCATCCCTGAGCCCATATCCTTTAGCCACGTTTCTTTTTGTTTCTCCTTAAGTGTGTCCTATTTCAAAGAGTCTATAACTAAACCAAGTTTTCTCAAAGAAGTGCCTTGTTGGTGCGCGTGGCCTTGTAGTCATGGGAAATGGTCCAGCATTTTAGGACCAATAGGCATCACAATGACTTGCAGTTCACATGTGCTGTGGATGCTCAATACTAATGACAGGTTCCGGTAAACCAAGTGCTAATCAGCCCCAGGTCACGAGGTGGGCCGCTGTCCGTTCCCGGTCCTGGCCATATTCCACATCTCTAATTCCACATCTAGGCATTGGGGCAGAAGGAACCAGGTAGGAGTGGATGGCTGGACCAGCATAAGCTATTCTTTAGGAGAAAGTCCAGAGAGTACAAGGAGCCAGGGTGAGTCAAGTGGTCGAGGATACAAGCATGTACTAGGCCCTGCTCCTCACAGCACAGGGTTCGCTGTAGTCTATCGGGTAGGCGGGAAACTAGACCAGGGCCGTGAACAGGCCACCGAGGAGACATTGTTGAAAACAGCTAAGAGAAAAGATCAGAAATGGAAGCAGAGAACCGAGGGAGCAAAGTTCACGTGTCCATGGCATGTCCTGGGAGGAGACTCATGCTACTCCCACGGGGCTTCCTGACCGGTCCTTGCTGTCCACCGGTGGGTAGTGAGGGTGGGTGCCAGGGTAGAGTGGGACCGATGCTCACCGACAGCCGGGTCTCCTGGAAGCCTGCCCGCTGGCCACACCATGGGATGACTTCCTCTAACGTCGGACGTGGCTACTTCTCTGGTTTATCTGTACGCCCAGTGTTCCCGGGCGTAAAGAGGGTTTGTAGGACATGGCAGAGTGCCGGCGTCGAGGGTGTATGTCTAGGCCTGAGGGGGCTGGGCTTGCAGCCCCGGGCTGCCCACCCAACCCCAAGTAGGTCACTCAGTCTCTGTGGGCCTCTGGCCTCGTTTGTGGAGGGGAAAGAACAGAGTTTCCTCGCGGGGTTCTCTGGGGATTAAGCGAGACACTGTGTGTGAAGAACATGGCGTTGCCATTGTCATTACAGACGCAAAATCCCAGTGAGGGCAGGTGTCCTCTGGATCCCTCAGCCAGGCTCTGGGGATTTTAAGAGACCCCGTGGCCTCCAGGCAGCATCTCCCTGTCTGTCTCCACCCTGAGCTGGATCATCCCTTCCTTTTCTTGGAAGTCATTTTCAAGTTCAAGGGAATCCTTGACAGTTTGACCACGAGAAAACCGAGGGGCACCACTGGATGGACTCTGTCCTCCGACAACCCCAGGCGTGGCCAGGGGTCAAATAATCCAACAGCACGTTTTCAGGGTAAAGCTCTTCCTTTATAGGTGTTCTCCTAGTGACCCCCCGATCTTTCCTCTGTTAATCCTGTGGAGAATGACGGGGAGAGCGGTAGATGCAGTGGATGCTCAGAGGCGGCGTCCAGATGTGACTCTTCAGCAACGGGCGATTTGAATCCCCTACACCAGCTCCACGGGGAATTCATCTATTCAGTGGTTCTCAGTCCATTTCATAGAATGCTACTCTATGTTCATTTTTAAAAAACAAATTTTATTGTGTGTATTTGAAGTGCACAGCAAGATATAACAGAAAACAATGTTGTATTGTTGCACAATGCTGTATTCAATGAGAGTACAATCCTCAAGTTGTACATTCTGGTCTTTAGAATTCATCTTACATAGTATTCATTTTACATAACTGAGAACTTTGCGTTCTCTGACCTGCATTTCCACATTTCCTAATCCTGCTCTGCCTCTGGTAGACACTGTTTTATTGTTTGTGTATTCTGTTCATCCCCCAGCCCTTGCTAGATTCCACCTATACGTGAGATCATGTAGTATTTACTAGCCTTTCTGTATCTGGATCACTTCACTTTACATAGTGTCCATCAGGTCTATCTCTGTTGTGGCAAATGGCAGGATTTTCTACTTTTTCATGGCTGAGTAATATTTCATTGTGTAAATATACCACAGTTTAAAAATTCATTTTCCATTGACAGAGTTGGGCCATTCATGGCTATTGTGACCAGTGTTTCAATGGACACAGGAGTGTAGGTATCTTCATGAGGTGATGAGTTCATTTCCTTTAGGTACATACTCTCAGGAGGCATTGCTGGGTCATATAGTGTTCTATATGTAAATTCTTTAGTAAGCCTCGCTGTTTTCAATGTGGCTACACTGAGCTGCAGTCTCACTAGCAGTGTGCAAGGATTCCCTTTCTCCACATCCTCACCATCATCTGTTATTTCTTGTCTTTTTGGTGGTAGGAACCTCATAGGGTTTGGAGTGATACCATGTAGTGGTTTTAATTTGTCTTCCCCGAAGAATGGGGCCGGTAAAGGAAAAATAGTCCTTAAAAAAGAAAGGAATTCCAAAAAAAATCCAAAAAAAAACTTTGGCAAATCCAACCAACTGGAAAATCCTTTTTTTAAAATTTTTTATTGGTTCTCTTTAGTTCTACATAAAAGTAAAAATCATTTCAATATAATTGTACAAGCCTGGAATATATCTTATTCTAGTTCTGTTCCATGGTAGAATTTAAACTTTTACAGATTCATTCCACCGTCTTTCCTTATCGTATCCACCCTCCCTTTCCTTTATTCCCCTTTGTCTAACCTACTGAATATCTATTCTTCTCCTCATATCAGTGAAAGCATTCTACCTTCAGCTTGCTGGGATTGGCTTATTTCCCTTTGCATGGTAGTCTCCAGGGCCATCCATTTACTGGCAAATGTCATAAAGTCATTCTTTATGGCTGTGTAATACTCCATTGTGTATATATAACATATTTCCACTATCCACTCATCTGTTGGAGGTCATCTAGGTCGGATCCACAGCTTAGCTATTGTGATTGAGCAGCTATAAACGTTGATGTGGCTGCATCACTGTAGTATGCTGATTTTAAATCTTTTGGATATAAAACAAGGAGTGGGATAGTTGGGTCAAATGGTGATTCCATTCCTGGTTTTTTGAGGAATCTACTTGGACACTGCCTTAATAAGCAGTATCATGTATCCTAAAAAAAAAAAAATCGGGATTCTTGAAACTTCCTTAATCTTTTAAAGGGTTTTAAAACCTATCTGACCAGAGACTCCTCTTCATTTTCCCTGACACATCTTAACATCTGTGAGGACAAGTTCATTTCAGGATATGGTTTGGGGGCTGTTCTGTAGGGGCAAAGGCCCCTCCTCTGTCTCCACTCAGGTGTGTGTTCTCCTCCCAGAGCCTCTGAGGGTGCTAGTAGTGTTCCACCCTGCAGGTGCTACATCACCTTGGCCCAAGCTCTGGGAATGAGCATGGGGGGAGCCCCGGCAGGACCCGCGGGGACAGGCAAGACGGAAACCACCAAGGACATGGGACGGTGCCTGGGGAAGTACGTCGTGGTTTTCAACTGCTCAGACCAGATGGACTTCCGAGGACTTGGGCGGATATTTAAAGGTAACTTGATTAGAAATGTCAGCAAAAGTGAAATAGCTTCAGATTCACTTTTCAAGTCCGGTGATGTCGCTCAGGAGTAGGTCAGCAAGTGTGAGGCTGGGAACCAGCCCCCAGGTAAACAAACAACAAACTCAACAACTTTCAGCAACTGGCTTTGTGCATTTTAGTGTCAATTTTAAGGGTTATTTTTCAACTTTGCAAAATTCTTTTGGAGACTCTTGAATCTTAGCAGTGTGGTGCGGGCCCAGTGTTCCTATCGCCTGCCTGTGGGAATGCCCCATTATTGGTGCAGGTTGAGTATTTGCAGATGATACCCAATTGGGAGCTGTTTTGGGCCTCTTGTGGTATGACCTATTTGTTCATCTTTATCTTTGATTAAACCTATCTCTGGCTCATTTTGTTAGCTGCGTAATGTCCTTTTCCTTATTTTCAAAATGATGCACTAACTGGATTTTCTATTAAATTTCCTTTCTAAGGACTGGCCCAGTCTGGATCCTGGGGTTGTTTCGACGAGTTCAACCGGATCGATCTGCCCGTTCTCTCGGTGGCAGCCCAGCAGATTTCCATTATTCTCACGTGTAAAAAGGAGCGTAAAAAATCTTTTATCTTTACTGATGGAGACAATGTGACCATGAACCCTGAATTTGGACTCTTTCTAACTATGGTAAGAGCCGCGGGGAAAGCTGCCCAGGAGCGGCCTGGTCTTTCCTCCTCTCCGTGGTCACGTGCGACCTGCTTGCCGTGAATGAAAGCTGGGACTGTCACTTTCTCTCCTGGTTGAAAGCCTCTGGCATTACACCAAGCTCCAAGCTCCGGAGAATAGCTCAGGGCTTGGTCTGTGCAGGTGGAGGGGGTGAGCTGTGGAAATGATCCTCTGGTGGTCGCTCCAGGATTTTTGTGTCTATAACGGGTCCTCGGATGTCATGCTGCTTTGTGCTCATGGCCCCAGGAACATAGCAGTCACCCTTGGGTTTTGTTTTCGGTTCAGAATCCTGGCTATGCTGGGCGGCAGGAGCTCCCAGAAAACTTGAAGATCAACTTCCGCTCTGTGGCCATGATGGTCCCCGACCGGCAGATCATCATAAGGGTGAAGCTGGCCAGCTGTGGCTTCCTTGACAACATTGTTCTGGCCAGGAAGTTTTTCACACTCTACAAGCTGTGCGAGGAGCAGCTTTCGAAGCAGGTGGGTCCCCCCCGAAAGGCTCTCTGGATTGTTCTATTCAGTGAAATGTTCCCGTTTTGCAAAATTGTAGTTTGGAGTTGTTGACAGAGTACCTTACTGATACCAAACATGGCGTATCATTAGAAAACTGATTTTATCTGCATCGTTTATTGTGAAGGACCTTTAAAGAAATTAGAATTCCTTTAAATAAAAATAGAAATAAAGCAAATACTGTCCAGACAGAATTAAGAGCCAACGTAACTTGGATATTAATATTTATGATCTATGTCACCTGTACGGTATCTGTATTGTTATGGTGTTCAGGCGTATGATCCCAACATTTCTGTTTTTGCCTTCTAAGCTCTTCTCAGGTATCTGACCAAGCGTTGCTAACAATCCTGTTGTGAACTCCTGCTAGTTTCCTCTATTGCTTGGAATAACAGGATCAGGCACCATGAAATTTCAGAGCTAAGAGGCATGAAATGAATCATAGTATTAGCTATTGTATTAGTTATCTGCATTAACTAATTAACTGTTTTAACTAATACTTGTTCCCCTGTGTTATCTATTGCTGAGTAATAATCATATCACAAAGAGTAGCTGAAACAATACACATTTATTATTTCCCAGTGTCGGGGGGGGCCCAAGGTCACTGTGACTGGGTCCTGGGCTCCGTGTCTAACCGACAAACTGGGCTGCAGTTTCGTCTGAGGCTTAGCTGGGGACTGATCTACTCCACGATCACCCGGGTGGTTGGTAGAATCCTGCTCCTTGGGGTTGTAACTGAGGGGGTGTTTCTTGCTTGCTGTTGGCCTGAGTCACCTTCGGTTCCTACAGGTCAGGAGTAGGATGGTCCTTCCGGATGGGATTCCCCAACATGGCTCTGGCTTTCTCAAAGTCAGCAAGGAAGGGGTCCAGCGCAGTGAGTGCTCACGTGGTCATGGGCACGCAGTCACATGCAGCCTGTGGTCCCTGCTGTATGTCAGAATCAAATCACAGGTCCTGGCCAGACTCAAGGTGATAAGGTCACACAGGGGCATGACGCAGGCAGGCATTAGGCCACATTTTTTTTTTTTGCACATGTAAGTAAAATTTACTAAGAATATTGTGTTGGTCAGTTTTCTGTCACTATGACCAAGATACCTGACGAGGACAACTTAGAGGAGGAAAAGTTTATCAGGGCTCATGGTTTCAGAGCTTTAGTTCATGGTGGGCCAACTCCGTTGCTCTGGGTCCAGGGTGAGGCAGAGCATCATAGTGGAAGCGTGTGGCAGTTGCTGGGTTCATGGTGGCTGGGAAACAGAGAGGGAGGGCGGGTGTAGGGGAGATGCGTCCTTACAGGGCACACTTCCCATGACTCACCACCTGCAGCCCTGCCCTTCTGTCTGCAGTTACCACCCAGTGAGTCCATTCAAGAGAGGGTGGACTGATCAGTCACAGCTCTCACAGACCAATCCTTCCACCTCTGAACACTCCTGCGGTAACACAGGAGCGTGGCGAGACACCCCATATCCCAACCATAACCCGCCTTGCTAACGGATGGTATGCACTGGACAAACACGAGGCTACTCCACGAACAGTGCCTTCAAACCCAGGCAACTTCAGGTTACATAGGTAGCTTCGTAGGTAACCTCCGAAGGCTTCCGTCTCCAACTTCTTTGAATCTGGAATCTTTTGAGACTCTCAGGATGGACCGATTTACATTCAACAGATCTTTGCTGTGAGTTCTCAGCTGCACACAGAGCCTCTGACCTGGCCGGTGAA